CTCCCTACCTCCCTGAACGCGGAGCCCCCAAAAGGAAGTTCCCCCGGGCGCTGAGGTCTTTTGCAAAAGAAAAGGTGTCCCGCCCCAGTGGCCGGGGTCCTTTGTCTCTCTTAAGTATCCGAGCATCTGATAACATGTATGGGGGAAAATTCCTTAAAGCAACAGAGGAGCTCCTACCAAACCCTAACAGGGGTCTCAAGGACACACCCAAGGACATAAATTCTCACACCTGTGACAGACTCATCCTGGCCAGAGTGCAGATGAGCCAGCAGAAGAGAACCAAGACCAAGATAAGGAACTGGATAGTCTTTGCAGATGAGGTAATGAGGGAAGCCAAGACCAGATATAAAAGGCTCAAAGTTCAGGGAGAGGACACGAAGAGACATCTTTTCAACAACCACTAGAGACCACCAAAATCCCCCTGGAAGGCTCCCAAGAAACCCACCGACTCAAAAGTGGACTAATAGGTTGCTCAGGGAGGTGGTGGTGGGGTCACCATCCCTAGATGTATTTAAGAGGTGTCTGGACCTGGTACTGGAAGATGTGGTTTAGGGTTTGGGGGTTACAGGGGAGTGATAGATTAACAGTTGGTCTTGATGATCTTAAAGGTCTCTTCCAACCTTGGTGATTCGAATTAGCATAAGAAGTGAGAGAATCACAAAGCAATAGATGACAGACCACTTGTAACCAATAAGCACTAATTTCTCTGCTGAAATGTATAAACAGTAAAAGTTTTGGGTAGCTGGTATGCACATAAGGTGGATTGATGCCCCATGCACTGCAAAAAAGGAATGCTGCTGCTTAGTGCTGCACTGATGCTAAGGAGTTTGACTCCCGGTTTCAGTGACACTGGTAACATGCTGTGGTTTTCTCTCCTGCAGGATGTCACTGCTATGTTGATGATGATGGATATCCACCCAGGAGACACTGTGTTGGAAAGTGGCAGCGGGTCTGGCGCTATGAGCTTGTTCCTGTCAAGAGCAGGTCAGAACCTGGTTTTAGAAAACAAGCAGCGCAGTTTGATGGATCATATCATCTAGTTCCCAACACCCACTGCCATGGGCAGGGACACCTCCCAGTAGACCATTTCCTTATTGCACATTGCCTTTCTTTTGGCCAAATGCTTATAACCAGTTCTTAAAAACTTTGCTGCAGTTCATGTGTTCATATATGTTGACTTGAAGGAAAGTTACATCAGTGCAGAGCTGGCACAAGGACTGCAAACCATTTAGGTTGTACCTAGAGGGCTGTAGTGCAAATGGTTACTGGTTGTCTTAGTCTTTCCCCAACCCCAAGAAGAGGTGAAGAATGAGCTCTGCATGGAACACATCAAATCTTCTAAAAACGAGCATTGTCTAAACACTTTAAAACCATCAGTTTTCAATTTTATTAACAACAGAAGTTGCTATCTGTTAGCTTTACAGCGTCTGTGAGCTGTGACCACTGCTGGAGCATTTTCAGCTGGGACCTCTGGTAGCTCCAGTAGGAGAATCATAGGACCCCAAATGCTCAAGTTGTCTTTTGCTGCACAAGTGACTTTGGAAGGACATCTTGGGAGCAGTCTGTGCCACTATAACTAGGCTTCATTTCATCTGTGTACTGATTGATTTCTGTCTGTAAAAGAAGCTTTTTTCTGCGTATGCTTGTTTTAAGTGTAAAGAAAAAACAGATTGTAATTGATTGTTTCATATGTTATTATTTCCCAAAGCAAAGTTGAGATTTAAAGGTGTACTTCTGTTATATACTGTATTTGTTTGAAGTCTTTCTTACAGAGGTGAAAAGTGCTAAGTCTAGTGCCTTTTGTTTGTTTTCAGTTGGGCCCAAAGGACGTGTCATAAGTTATGAAATTAGAAATGATCATCATAATTTAGCTAAGAGGAACTACAGGCAGTGGCGTATGGCATGGGAAATAAGACACGTGGACGAGTGGCCAGATAATGTGAATTTTGTTCTTAAAGACATCTCAACAGCTACCGCAGATCTGAAATCTGAAACACTTGACGCAGTGAGTCCAAAACATTCCCTCATTTGACATTTACCTTTTCTACCTAAATTAAAACCTCTAATGCTCACACTCACAATGGGATTCCCATATCTAGTTTAACATGAGAAAAAACAATCAGGTCTTCATCAGTGAGAGGAACATTGGGGGTTTTTTTTTGTCAGATTTACAAGTACGTTCAAGGTTTCAGTTACAGGTTCCCAAATGAAAGAATGATGAAGTTGTACTATAGATATACTACAATTAATCACTGCTGTCTTGTAAGCAAAGACCAACTTACTTTCTTGTACTTGTGAGAAACAGATGTTTTTATATCTGAGATACCTATTTCAAACATTAAGTTTCAGAAGAATACATAACCTTATTAAAAATATAAATATGTAAGCACTTTGCTATCAGCTGTATTGAATGCACAGTGTAACTAAAGCCTAAGTTAAAGAGTGCTAGTGCTCACTCTCCCATCCTGCTTTTGTGTATCCAGGTTTTCTAAAGGGAGACATGCTGGGGAAAACAGCCTGATGTTAACCACTCTTGCATGTGAAGCAGAAAAACGACTTACAACTACTTAGTGACTAATGCCTTAAACAAGTGACAATTTTGCTAAATTGTTTGAGCAAAGAAATAGAATATATAGCATAAAATACCATTTCTAAAAACTTTATAAGTAACAATGGACAAGAAGGATCAGATAATCAGATACTGCATATCTCGTTGTTTTTCAGTTTGAAAGCTTTTCAGCAGAAAGTGGATAAATTGCCAAAGACAGAAGTTTTGTAGCTTTCAAAACAAACTGCAAGTTACACACTGAGACTGTGGTGTGCTCTTTTCACAACAATGATGCACTTGAACATTCTTTTTTTATATATGTTTGAGCACTAGATATTCAAATGTGTTAGTAAATGTAGTCTTCTAAAGGTTTTTGTTAATGTCAGCATTAGGGAATTTAATTAGTAGGAGGTTTAACTCCTGCCAGGCCTACTTGCTGTTTTAACAGAAATTCACTTGGAAGTAGCAAGGACTTGGTTCTGTGCAAGTGTGGACCTCAGGTTTTAAGAGGCAAAACTGGCTGATGTTTACATACTGCTGTTATGTGCATCTATTTTTCATAAACATTTTTTCTTCCAAGCATTGTTGTATGTTAAAAAAAATGATAGACATACATATGTTTCCCAGTAAACAATATATCTTTCTCTTGCAGGTAGTTCTGGATATGCTTAACCCTCAGTCTGCTCTGCCTGTGGTACACTCAAGCCTGAAACTGGGTGGTGTGTGTGCTGTGTATTTAGCAAAGTAAGTACTGACTTCTGGCACTTACACCTTTATCCAGGCATCACCTAGCATTGTCAGAAACCCTGACTTTTGAAATATACATCCATCATTAATGAAATGTTTAACCAATTTGGGGGTTTTCCTCCTCATGTAATTTTTTTTAGGGAGTTGCACTCAGTATAAATTACATTTGGCCAAATCCTTTGGGCTCTGCTTTGGGAATGTTCTCATTCTGAAGTTTGCACTTAATGCCATCCTCACAGTAACTGCACTGTTCAGTAGTCAGGTTGTTAGCTCCTTCACCCTAAAACCGAAGGACTTGTATAATCTCAAAGGTAAAGAATGTGACCAATTCCGTAGAGTTGAGACTGTGTAGTTTGAGTTTTCCAAATACTACTTTATCCTTTGCCTTTCTTCAAAAGCATCACACAGGTTATTGAACTTTTAGACAGAATACGGACCCTCAAGCTCCCTTTAATCTGTGAAAGGATCATTGAGGTAACTCACAAAAGCTGGTTAGTACTCCCTGCTAAAATCAAGAATTCCAAATCAAGACAAACGGTGGAAAATCAAGAAAATATTGAGGAACCACCTCAAAAGGAATATGAAGAAATCCACATCCAGGATCAAGCAATTCTTAGAGAAGGTGAATACGATGGTAAGAACGTTATTGCTGATGAAATAAATGCCTGTTACTGCAGTTTGATAATCTAGTGTAGGAACAGGCAATGTTTTTTGTTGAATCAGCTGAGAACAAACTGGAATAAGACAAGTTTTGGACAGCCTAGACCTTGTCAGGTTTGGAAGAAAATGTATTAGCAGTTATTTAAGTTTAAATTTCTTATTAAAACTCTAGACTAAAATGAAAATAGATTGCAATGAAGAATGACTGCCCTTCTATTACTACTTGCAAGTTTTTATTTTTTTAATAAAATCCAGTCTTCTGTACTCATCCTATAGCTGCTTGAGAGGACCCTAATGGAGTAAGGATTCCATAGAAGAAATGGTGCCAAGTATGTTCTGTTGAAAAGCCATGCTGTTCTGGCAAATTCAAAAATGATGCCTCATTATTTATACATATATGACAGATATATAGATATATATAGAGTACAGATTTGCAAAATCCACAGCAGAGCAAATAGTTCTGAATGTACTGATAGGTGACAACAAAGCACCATAACAGAAGGAAAAATGGAAAATATGTCAGGGAAAAATAATCCATGCACATTGGTAACTCTAGTCTGTGTGTATGTCTTAAACTTACGGGAAAGAAGTTTAAAAAATGTGCTTCTCACAGAATCACTTCCTGATGATGCTGAAACATCCCGCTCGGTGCCTTATGTTGCTAGGCCATCTTACTGGCAGGAAGCTCATTCAGGTGAGACACTTGGAAAATGCTTTTTATCTTAAGTGGAATTTTATTTTTTTTAACTAGCATTTGGCATGTTACTCCATCAAGAATCATAGAACTTATAATGATAATAATGAAATAATCATTGTATATTGAAATACTGAAGCAGTAACTTGTTTTGTTTTTCAATCAGCATTTCTTACCAAGCTGAGAAAGTTTGGACCACTGCTCTCTTGATGCTGCTGCTGCCTTAGCTGATAAGTTGAATGGGTATCAGAAGAAAATAAAATACAAAGTCGCTGCTACACTTAGCAAGTTGTGTAACTTTTAAGTAATGACTGCGTTGCTTTCTTCTTCATATCCAGTTTGAAACCCTCACCTACTCTTTAAAGTTTTAACAGAATCGTCAGGAATAGTGGTATGATGCAACACAGATTGTTCTGCAAATCACAGTATCTGTTTCTGCTTCATTGGGTGTGTTTCATACTTCATTGTTTGTAAACCAACCCATGGATTTATCTTGGTTCAAGGTGCCACATGGTCACCTTTTGCTGGAAAGACAGTCTACCAGAAATAAGGAGAAAAAAATATGTAGTAAGAAAATAAGGGATCCAAGTCTGCCCTTTGAAATGAACACTTTGCTGGCTACCAACTGGTGACTCTCAGGTTCTTTAAGAACAATGTTCTTAAAGCTCAGCTGTAACAGATACTGAAATACACTGAATTTGTTCACAGCTTGATGAAGATGTGCTAATTTCAAGACAAAGACCAGCTGTTGAGAAGTACAGCTGTGGTTCACATCCAGCATTCATGCTCAAAGTTGCCTGGTTGCTTGTTAACTTTGCTTTATATGAAGTATTCTCAAACAGGCAAAGTAAACACAATTTTTTTCTGACCATTGTCAGATATGAAAAGATCACTCAAGTAAAAACAGACTTAATTTTAAGTCTTTTAGGGTCTTACATGAGCAGGTGATGATGAAATTATTAAATGATATGTTGTAGACAGCTGACTTGTTCTGTATCTCAGGAAAGATTCAAATGCCAAATATTTCAAGGTCGAGGGATCCCTTGAGTATCACAGCAGTACTAAAGCTGTCAAAAGCAGAAACAATCCTACTGCAATAGTGAAAATTTGGATACTGGTGAGAACATAAGCAAGTAAATACAGAGCTATAAATAACTAACTTTGAATTAAATAAGCATAGTAGGAGCTCTGCAGTGCAATACATGAAAGTATCTTATACAGCTCCCCCAGGAAGTTTACAGCTCAAGTGTATTCCCCTCCTGATAATAAATTTAACCAGAAGTTTGTGCTGTAATTGCTGTATATAATGGAGGGTTCTACTGCAGAGGCTGAGGATGCTACTTTGGGTAGACTAATGTGCAGACCTTCAATTACATACACAATTTCCAGGAAGTCAAGAGACATCCTGGAAGTACCAACTGCTAACAAAATACAGCCTTCTCTCTGGAGTACTGTATTTTCTTAATCAGAAAGTTCCACTGAATCCTTATCCAACAAGCTCTTATAAAAATCTCTTTACCCTTGAGCCTTCTAAATGAATAGGTATGCAAGAACTAACATATCCTGACATCTTTCTCCAAACTGGCAAGAAATTAACAGTTTCTGACTCATTGAATAAATAAAGTGAATAAATAAATAAAGTGAAAATGAAAGTGGATGCGTGGCAGTAAAAGCACAGTTCTGCCAAGGAATAGGGAAGGACACAGAAGTCCCTGCAGTAGTGGGGCCTCAGTTGCCTAAACTAAGTGAAAATTATTTCCGATGTTAAACCATGCCTTGGTCATAATAAGAAGGAGAGTCAATGAGCGTTTTTTAAGATGTAAAGTTGTCTTTGGAATTCTGGGATGAATCAATTGCCATCATCTCTGAAGCACTAGTAGATGAGGAGGAAGATGATAATCCCACTTTCTTGCCACACAGCAGGCACTGCTGTGCCTTATAACTCCTCAGCGCTCCAGTGTGGTTCGTGGGGCGTTCTCGCTGCCATATATAATGTTCTGGAGCAATAGCCATCACCTGTCAGAACAAACATTGGAGCAGAACACAAAAATAATGGGAAAACATACAGCTGAAAATAAGAGATCCAATTAGGGCATGGCAGAGAATGAATACTATGTAGCTGAAATGGGTAGCATCTATTAACTGCTTCTGTCCTGCCAGAAAGTTTGCTGCCTTGGGCAGGACTGAGTAAACCAGATCCCAGTCAGATGTGGAAACACAACAGTTTGCAGCCTCATGTGATCATGTGAATCATCTCAAATCCCAGCCTGTGCTTTGTATGTTGGACAGGAGATGGTGCCTTTGGCTAACCACTAAACGGCTAGATGGATTTTCCTGTTCACAGCATCATGGAACTAGTGACATGGGAAGCTGGGAGGGTACACAGGGAAAAGCATTCTGCACTCACCTTGTTCCTCTACTGTTCCCAGAAGAACCTAATCCCATCCCCAGAGATGGGACCCGAGAGTAAATGAGCATTTCTTTTCCATCAACTGTAGGTAAATGGTACATACTAAGAACATGACAAGAGCTTTTCCAGATATATGTTCCACCTGAAAAGTGAGGAATGTACTTTTTCCTTCCTACAATGTTTGAAAATTGTAGGTTGTAACACTGCATTAGTAATAGAGAATGTTAAAAGTGTGTCCCGAGATTTTCATAAATGCAGTGAAAAACCCTGACCTTAAAAAGTGAGTTGCAGTGGTACCACTAATTTTGAAGGGATTAGATCTTCACTTGAAGTGCTGGGATTTTTGTTGAAAGGTTTTACTTGTGTACAAACTTGTAAATTGCAAAGCAAACACAGACAAAATTATTTCTGAAGTGAATGAAGTGAAACAAAAGGGAGATTTTAAATAAAAAATATTTGCATAAAGCAGACAAAGTTTCTATTGTAGCCAATAGAAACTTCACTTCTAACAGGAGTGCAATGTAAAATACTCTAGTTTACCTTTAAAGCATAGTGTCAAGCAATGTACTGTAAATGCAGAAGGAAAAAATGGAGAATAAATGGACTGTTTCACATGTTAGCTGCATCTTTTCTTTCCTATGGATTATCTGCACTGTAGGGAAGAAATTGTGTAGAGCTAAACTTAATTATTGTCATTTCAGCATCTACAGCATTAAAACCCCTCCCTACCTCTTCACAGCAGCGTCTGCTTACAATAGCCCTGTAGTCAATTCTCCTCCATAGCTGATCTCTTAACTTTAAGAAATCAGGGTACAGCTTTCTCCACTTTTTTCCCAAAGCCCATGGAAGAATGTCATCCTTTGATTCTTCATTGTCTTCTTCAACTGTGTTTGCCAGATACCTTCAAACATATTTATGTTTGTGTTTGTAAATCTTATTCAGTCTTAAATCATGATATTAGAACAATTTCTAACATTAAAAGTCATATTAAAGTGGTTCGCTTTTCTAGTATCGTGAGGGAAAAATGCTAACAAAATACAACCTTCTCTCTGGACTACTGTATTTTCTTAATCAGAAAGTTCCACTGAATCCTTATCCAACAAGCTCTTATAAAAATCTCTTTACCCTTGAGCCTTCTAAATGAATAGGTATGCAAGAACTAACATATCCTGACATCTTTCTCCAAACTGGCAAGAAATTAACAGTTTCCGACTCACTGAATAAATAAAGTTTAAAACTATCTTAGGAAACCTTAAACTTTCTATGGATTTTAGCTATTTTTGGAAAATCATGTTGCTTGTATTAAACTAGCAGCAAACAACTAAATACAGGTCTACCTTCAGGTATAAATGAAAACCTTAAATGCTTTTTTTAAATGTCTGTACTTCTCCCTTCCTTTGCTATCTGCTGGTTTTGGTTCTGGATCATCATCTCAGACAACAGGAAAATGCTTCCTCTGGATCCACCTGATACTAAACTCCTGTAAATCACACCTGAAAAAATTACAACTTTTAGTTTTCTCCTCACTTGCTCCTCACCTTAATGTTCCCTTTAGTCCCGGTCTCACTAGACCCCTTTTCCCTTTCTTATCCTTTCACTGTTCTGGCCTGGCTTTTCCCTGCTCAGTGGAGTCAGATCTCCCTCCTCCATGCCCTGTGGATGTTACCCACAATTCCACTGACAGGAGAAGGTACAGCCATCTTTGTCCCACGCTAGTGTGCCAATCTGAGCTCTTAGATGTGCTGTTACGGAAAAGCATGGCCTGAACACCATGACACTGAAACGCAGAATCGCTCTGTAGGTGTGTAGCTAAACGTGGAGGGATTATGTAGACTTGGGAAGGACAAGAATACTGGTTGTACCTCTGTTTCAGAGTACAGGCATTTTACAACTGTTCAAAAAAGTTCCCAGGAATTCTCCGACAACATTTTTACAGTTGACTTAAATCACGGTGGCAGAAACTTCAATAAAAAGTTACTCCTGAGGTGCATATTATGGTGAAACGTTTCAATACAAATGACTTAAAGGTTGGCAAAGCTATGGAATAGGTTTTGTAACAGGATGTGTATGTGGCCGTGTGTTTGTAGCCGTGTTGTCCTGCATATATTTCTTGTAATGCTTAAAGAAGGGTTGTTTGGGTTTTTTCACTGTTTATCACTACAAACAAGGCAAACATCCCCTCTCTGCTGCTTGAGCTTGTTCTGTCAGAGGAGTAAGGCTGAGTTTGCACTATGTGTGTACACTATGTAGGTCAACATAGAGAGCCATGAAATTACTTGAATTGGAAGGGACCTTAAGGATCATCTAGTTCCAACTCCTCTGCCATGGGCAGGGATGCCACCCCCTAGATCAGGGTTCTGTATGAAGTATAGAAACATAAGCAACGTTAAGTCTCATCATATATCCTAACAATCAGTGTCATAAACAAAGAAACAAAATAATGCAAAGAACCAGACAATTTAGAAGTACTTACAGAGCGACAAAGAAATTCATTCTGGTATATTCATGTAGGGTGTAGTTAGCCCTCTTGATGTAAACGAAAGTCATTGCCAAGAGATACTGGTTTAAAATGTAAAATGAAGTATCAATGTATTATTGCAGTATATAATTTCCTAAAATCATTTGCACGTTTATCTTGCACCAAGGTATTTTTATCAATGAGGAAAGCATAAATTGGATTTTTTGAAGCTTCCATATGACCTCATTAGAAAAAAATATGGTCTGCATTTGCATTACAGTATCTAGTGATTAAGGGCAGATTTCTCATTCAATGTATGTTCTGTTAACTATGGAAATACACTTACCTTGTCTGCAACATTACAGCAAGAGTCCATCCAAAGGAAGTCTTGGATTAGATCATCGTCTGCAACAAGAGAAAGCTGTGGCATTTCAAACACCAAAACTGTTTTTGTTAGAAGGTATTTGTAAATTAACAACAGATGGTCCTTCGATTAAACCAAACACAAGGAAAGAAGCTAGACCCACCAGCAGAGAACAGAGAAACTAAGGGGAGTGGGAGATCAGGTGTGGAAAAACTGAAGGGACAAAGGAAGATAAACTACCAGAAAGGGAAGGTAGAAAATCCAGTGACTGTGTTTCATCCACCCTCGGTAACAGTAAGTGTGAAAAGTCACCACTGTATCTTCTATTTGGGCAATTTCTTCCTGTGTTAAGTGGTTCCAGCTAATGGAGTTCTCTGCACCTTGATTACCTGGAGCCTTCATAGGGCAATGTGGTCAGTGCATCACTGTCCATGGACATGTACTGTAGTTATTTATAACTCTCTCCGATTCACTTCTGTGTTCAAGGGTCAAATAAAAGCCAAGTGTAATCGTCCACTATCACTTCATGTCTTTGCTAAATTAAATATACACAAAACTATACCAAAGAGACACAAATGCAGAGGAGATGCTCCAACTCCTCAGACTGTCTTCCCATTCCACTTCTCCCCCTAAATGTTTATTCCCACAATGAATAACATGTTATGAGGCATGGGGTCCTGCCTCTTTTTAATCCTTGTGTAACACATGTACATTGCTTTACATGTGTTGAAATACAAGAGAAAACAGAAGGGAAATTATCATAAAAGGAACTATCGAACCACCTTGGTTTCATTTGTAACTTAAAGCAGATACTTTTCATCACTTTGGTAGCCCTTCTTGTACTTTTAACTGAAGCATTAAACATTCAGATACCATAATATAACAACAAAATATGTTTAGATAAAGAATTGCTATTAGTTTTGTTACAGAAAGGACTCTCAGAATGACTGAGCTTAGAAAACCTGTTCAGCCAAAACATTTGTATCTGCCAGTATTAACCTACCAAATAATCTAAAGAAAGTTGCCATTTCCTGACGCTGAATAATCAGATGTGATCTGTTTGGACACTCATTCATATGCTCAATAACACTTTTTTCACTGTTTTCTTCATGGTCTTTAAAAGCAGGGTGCTTTAGTTTAAGCAGCTTTGCCTGCTGATGTGATGTGCAGGCACTCGATCTCACATGAACAGTGACAGTGAGAGGTGTCCGACATGCCAGGCTGCGTTTCATTCCGATAAGTAAACGTTCCTGTTAAAAAAAAAAGAAAAAAATTAAGTACTACAAACACAGCCAGTTTGGGCACTAGTACTCCACACTTCTTCTGCTCACATGAAGCGTTTCAGTAGAGCTTATATGTCAGGTGATGGAAAATTCATTTTAGCAGTACTAATTATCTAAGTCTTGTGCCCTAAACCAACTGTGTAGAGTTGTTTAATTGAGTTATAATTTAATAAAGATCTTTTGATTTTTTTTCCAGTGGAAGGTGCCTTCAGTCTCTCTTTTTCCAGTCAAAATTTTTTTACAAAATCCTATCCAGAAAAAAAGTTGCTGTTTGTCAGATCCTCATAGTTCCACACACTCAGTGCTACCAAAAGCCCTGCATTCCTTCCCTCCAATCCATGATTGTGTGTTTTTAAAGGAACATTAATAGAACTAGCACAGAACTGTGACTAAGCCCTGTGACACTGAAACTTAGTCTCGAGCTCCTAATTTTTATAACAAATTGAAAGAGG